GTCTGATCGCTGTCTGATCTCAGTCTGATCGCTGTCTGATCTCAGTCTGATCGCTGTCTGATCTCAGTCTGATCGCAGTCTGATCTCAGTCTGATCGCTGTCTGATCTCAGTCTGATCTCAGTCTGATCGCTGTCTGATCGCAGTCTGATCGCTGTCTGATCGCTGTCTGATCACAGTTTGATGTCTATCTGATCGCTGTCTGATCTCAGTCTGATCTCAGTCTGATGTCTATCTGATCGCAGTCTGATCTCAGTCTGATCGCTGTCTGATCTCAGTCTGATCGCTGTCTGATCACAGTTTGATGTCTATCTGATCGCTGTCTGATCTCAGTCTGATCTCAGTCTGATCTCAGTCTGATCTCAGTCTGATGTCTGTCCGATCACAGTTTGATGTCTATCTGATCGCTGTCTGATCTCAGTCTGATCTCAGTCTGATCTCAGTCTGATCTCAGTCTAATCGCTGTCTGATCACAGTTTGATGTCTATCTGATCTCAGTCTGATCGCTGTCTGATCTCAGTCTGATCGCAGTCTGATCTGTCTAATCGCTGTCTGATCACAGTTTGATGTCTATCTGATCGCTGTCTGATCGCTGTCTGATCTCAGTCTGATCGCTGTCTGATCACAGTCTGATGTCTATCTGATCGCAGTCTGATCTCAGTCTGATCTCAGTCTGATCTCAGTCTGATCGCTGTCTGATCTCTGTCTGATCGCTGTCTGATCTCGGTCTGATCTCTGTCTGATCTCTGAGCATCTGATGCCAGACTGCAGTCATCACTATCGCATCATCACATTATGTCAGACATTTATTTAAATCAGTCCTAATTTAATCAGGATTTTCTCACTGTGTGTGTGTGTAGAGTGGAAGGAAGCACATAGAGGAAATGGAGAATGTAAGGACACACTTACAGTTCATACTGAGAAACACACCAACATCAGCGGACCGACACGGTGAGATACACACACACACATACAGATGCTTTCATAGAGCTGCTGAACTGTATTTAGTGCTGATCAAATCACCTGACCTTTCACCTTTGACCCTGTAGATTTTCTGGCCCCTGCATCACAGCACTTCCTGGATGATTCACACGAGAGCGACGCCACGTCACACCTGCTCAGGTGAAACAGACACACCAATACAGCTGTCGCTTAATTCACTTCATATTCAGAGAGTTTACTGGTGCAACAGAAGTACATTTTGTGCTGCTAAACCATTTGTCAGTATTGATCTAGGACACATTAAATTGATCAAAAGTGCCAGTAAAGACATTTCTAATGTGACAGGAGATTTCTATTTCAAATAAATGCTGTTCTTTTGAACTTTCTATTCATCTGTGAATCCTGAAAAATAAAATGTATCACAGTTTCCACAAAAATATTGTGCAGCACGACTGTTTTCAACATTGATAATAATCAGAAATGTTTCTCGAGCAGCACATCAGCATATATCATGTGTCTCACTCTGTGTGTGTGTGTCAGTGCTGGGTTGTCTGTGGGCGGCGTGGAGCAGCTGTTCCCGCGTTATTCCCGTCTTCATGCAGACTCGAGCGGCGCTGCGTCAGAGCTGCAGGTGTTGAGAGAGAGTCTGGACAGAGAGCGGGAGCGCCGGAAGGTACAGCCATTATAAACCTGACGCCAGAATAAAACCTCTACGGTTTAATGTTTGAAAGTGAGAAATTAAGACATCCATGAATATTATTACTGTTCTGTTAAATACAATTGTAATTATTAGTAGTATTATTATTCATATTATTAAATACTATTTTTTTAATAATTAAAAAAATACTTAAATGTAAATTGGCTGTAAATCCATATCTGACAGCGGTGTGTGTGTGTGTGTTTGAGGTGTGTGAACAGCAGGTGGTGTCTCTCCACAGTAAAGTTCTTCAGTTTCAGCAGCAGTTAACACTCGCTGTGGCCGCTGACCGCAAGAAAGACATCATGATCGAACAACTCGACAAGGTACAAACACACACACACAGAGACAGAGACGCACACACACACACACTCATACTCACACAGAGACACACACACACACACACACACACACACACACACACACTCATACTCACACAGACACACACACTCACTCATACTCACACAGACACACACACACAGACACTCATACTCACACAGTCACACAGACACACACACTCATACTCAAACACACACACACAGAGACAGAGACGCACACACACACACACTCATACTCACACAGAGACACACACACACACACACTCATACTCACACAGACACACACACACAGACACTCATACTCACACAGACACACACACACAGACACTCATACTCACACAGACACACACACACAGACACTCATACTCACACAGACACACACACACAGACACTCATACTCACACAGACACACACACACAGACACTCATACTCACACAGACACACACACACAGACACTCATACTCACACAGACATGCACACACACACACACACACACTCACACACACACACACACACACACACACACACTCACACACACACACACACACACACACACTCATACTCACACAGACACACACACACACACACTCATACTCACACAGACACACACACACTCATACTCACACAGACACACACACACACTCATACTCACACACACACACACACTCATACTCGCACAGACACACACACACACACACACACACACAGTATAACAGACTCGGTGTAAAGGAGGAAGCATGTGTAATAAATTATTGACAACAACAGCGATAATATCAGTGTTTGACAGCGAGTGAAAATATCCTGCATCTGAGACACTTTCACTCAATACTGAGAATAAAATGAGGAAAATATTATGTGTGTATTATATGTGATGTTTTAGATCGCACACATGGAGTCCTTTCTGTGGAAATCACAAACGGAGACACAGTCCATCGATCCTTCCACACAGACACATGGGTCCTTCATTTTTGGATTAACTAATTAAATATTATTATAAACATTAATGAGTTTTCATTTCTTTCAAGGTTTCAGTTTTATTGTATTTTTTAGTTAAAATAAATAATAAATAATTGTGAAAGATTAGAATCAAAGTGAAAACATCTCAATAGCGCCACCAGTCTGTTAATACTGGTTTATAAGGATTATGATACACAGTGCTCAGAGTCTACAGTGTAATATATGAATGTTTACAGGTGAATCATGCCTCATATTTCATTCAGATGTTTTACTCTGAAGTGTGTTTATGATTTTTCAGCAAGATCCTGTCTGGTCACTGCTATTACAGCTGTTGTTTTTAAGGAACTGTTTTGAATGCAGTTGTTAGTCCACATTTATTAAAGGCAGTGCAACAGCACTATATTGTCATGATGAATAAAAACTGTGCGTGCGTGTGTGTGTGTGTGTGTGTGTGTCAGACGTTGGTGAAAGTGGTCGAGGGCTGGAAGAGACACGATCAGGAGCGAAACGAGGAGATGAAACATCTGCAGGTGGAGAAGGAGATGGCAGAGAGAACATGCAACACA